TTCATCATATAGAAAAGTTATTATTTAAGAATATAAGACGGGTGCCTTTATTACCATTTATTGGCCACAGATCCAACAAGCTAATGTCCTAACAGTTCAGTTGTGTATACATTTAGAGCGGTTTTGCATGACATAGTAGGCATAAGCAGCACCAAGTTGTATTGTTGGGTGATGATAATAGTATGAAAAATTTGGTTTCTGTTGAAAACCAATAATTTAGCCTAAATATTTACTATTATTTCGAACATCTGTCTATTTAATTCCCCATTAAGGTAGAGATGCAGGTTCGTGGGCACTTTTCGTGATTTTTTTTTTTTTTTTGCTTGTTCTTACCCATACAGTCTTGGCTAGATAGTGTTAAAATTTCGGAGCATTGTCATTGTTGGAACATACTCAAAAATCAATTTTAAAATATAGGGAACCGAGGCACGCGTATGTGATTAAAAGTCCCGAAAGTTTGTTTGCGTTGCTCTTTGATTGACAAGTCACAGTTGATGTTATATTCAAATGATTGCTGGCCTCAGTTACGGAGCAGCCGGTGTGCGACTTCTTGTCCTGGCTCTCCGTTTACTTACCTCAAGCGCGATCAACTAGCAAACTGCAAAAACAGACAAGACGTAGACACTTCCAGTATGCAAGCGGAATAAAACAAAACACACTCTTGTAACTGATAAGTAAACTTTTTCACCCTTAAATAAATTGATTTTTCATTTATTTTTATGTAGGAGGTAGCGACGATAGGGCGATTTAATTTTCGCGCAAAACAAAGCCACAATTTCTTTTGTTTTCTTGGTGCATAGATTTCAAGCTTTTTCGCATTGTGGGCGAAACTAAAAAATGTTTCCACAAATTTTTACTCCAACGGCATTTTAACACTGAAGTAAACATTTTTCGTTTCGCTGTAATGATTATCGTGCTGATAGAATTTTCAGTGTTAAAATACACAAACATAAAATGCTTGGTTAATTAAAAATGAAAAAATACCATGGAAATTACCGAAAATCGGCAATGAGATGCTTTTTTTAAACACCGCGGAAAAATCATGCACTGTGCGATGCCATCTTGGTTACCTTAATTGGGAACCTCCTTGTCAGCTAGCATGCACCGGTAGCGATGTCGCAAACTACGCTGTATGGTCGTGATCGGCGACCTCTGGTACTAAGGAACTCTATGAATGAGGTATTTCCAGGTCAGGGTTCGTTTAATTTGCATCGACCTGTCTCGTCTGTAGTTGAATGAAACCTGCATCGATTTACAATAGTTCTCTTTACAATGTGACTTTATTTCGAATTTGTTTCACCGGCGTTTGGGTGATTGAGTAGTAAAAACTGCGAATAGCCGTAGTAAAATATTAGGGCCCATTTCAACCTGGTCGTCTA